CATTGTTATGTAGTACAATATTTATCTACGCTAATAATTGTTTTGATCTATCGTCAAAAAATGTTAACATATTGTCTTAATGTAGAAAATCACGATAATAATTGTTTTTTATTTTTTGTTGTTGTTATCATGCATGTTGTGCTTTTTTTATTATTGTCATGCATGTTGCACTTCTATGAAAGCAATCATTGTTATGTAGTGCAATATTTATCTGCAATAATAATTGTTTTGATTTATCATCAAAAAATGTTAACAGATTGTCTTATGTAGAAAATCACTATTTTTAGAATTATGTTTAGATTCATGTTAATATATTAGGCCTCAAGGCAGGTCATATTTTTCGCGTACGTTTAACACATGTTCAAAATTTGTAATAATATTATGTAATAGGAAATACATCATAACTCCAGAAGTCACTCATACCACATTCAAAGTTTGTGGGAACTATGTGAATAATAGGAAATGGGTCATAACCCTAGAAACCACTCAATTCGTAAGGGTTCTTTGAACAAAGATCGAAATAGAGATGCACGTTAACACTACATATTTATATGATTAATGGATATTATTTTCTATGTTCAATGCACGTAATCCAACTAGTCTCTATTAATGTTGTCATATTCGCTTCGCAGTGTTTTTCGGTTTGGTAAGAAAAATAAAGCAATTTAGTGCTTCGGGCAATTCAGAAGAAAACTTTAGACTTTTTAGTTAATATAAATAAGTTAGATATTTATATATAAAATATATACAAATAATAGAAAAAATAAAATAAAATTGTATATAGCTACTTCCTTGCTGCCCGAAGTAAACCCAAATTTGATCGAAGCAGCACGAAACGACTTGAATCTGGCCAAAGCAGCAACACCATGCTTCGCTTCACGAAATGGCTTGAATCTGACCAAAGCGGCAACCTCATGCTTCGCTTCGTTTCGGTTTATGCCTAAAATCCAAAGGCCTAATGCAAATTTGATAACTCGGATCTCCATTTCTTCATCTTCAATTATTGTACAATTAATAAAATTTACTGCAAGAGACACGCTTTGCTCCTTTTAATTAAGAACATTTATTGTAAGAGACACATTCAGTTTTTTTTTCTAACTTTTTATTAAAAAGTAAAAAAAAAGACAAAAATCCAACGTGTCACTCAAGTGTTTTTTAAGACAAAGATAAGAAAGTGCACGTAAAGGTCGAGTAAAGAAAGATGGTGAGGGATGGGCACCAACCTATGAATTGGTCCCACCTTTGGTCCCAACTCAATTGCTCCATTATTTAACAACAACAATAATGCTAATACTAATATAATAATCAAAGATTGGAATCATGCAATTAATGGAAACGAAAACAAGAATTCTTGTCCCGAGGTTATGAAAAAAAACACAAAGGAAGCCATGCATTACTACCTTCTTCTTTGGTGAGGAGGAGGCGGACTTGAACAAAGCAAGCAGTAGTAGGCCGAGCGGAAGCCCTGGTTTTCTGAGTCGGCGAAGTGCTGAATATGGAAAACCTTGTACTGACTCGGCCTTCTGTGAAAGCTGGATTTCATGGATCGCCGACGTTTTGGCCTTCGAGGCGTTGGTTCTCCTCGACTAAGTCTATCAGAAGCCCTGGTTTTTGCTTCTCTTCTCTTAAGGTACTCGTGTTTTTCTTCTAATTCTTTTCTACTTTTATTTGTACTCTTTTTTTTTGAGGTATTTCTACTTTTTTCGTTTCTTCTTTCATTTGATTGTTTTTTTTTTCCCCTGGAAGTTGGGTTGGGTTGCATGATAGAGGTTGGAGACCATGATGCTCTTACACCAATGGTTTAGCATACTTATTGTTCATGTGCTGATATTTGTTCGAACAATATGTTTTTTTCTGGCTTGCTACACTCGGTTTTTCGAACCACTAATACTATCAACATTAATATGGAAGTGGTTATGTTCGTGACTAATAATAATAATAATAATTATTATTATTATTATCATCATCATCCGAACTATTTAAGGCTGACTACATGAGTCGTATTTAGCTATTCTGCTCATAGGTTCACGATTCATGACAAGATTGGCAAAGTTATTTTGGGTTTATATGGCCATTAAAGACCTTATGAGAACTGGTAATCAAATATTTGATGTGGTCGAACATAAACTCCTTGGGAGAATGATCCTTTGTGGACTGAGATAGACGAATACTATTTGCCGTTACTTTGACGTGCTAGGCCAATCGAGTTGGAGAACCCTTGTTACCTGAACATATAAAACAAAACCTATGAGAGTTTGCAGGGTCATCCTTTGATGAGGTCGGAGTTGCCCAAGATTGTGAGCCAAGAGACTGTGTAGCCTTTGTGCGTGATAGTAGGCTTCTAGGGGCGAGGGCCAAATTCTGATCCTCGAACTATCACACGGCATGTACATATGATAGCCGTATCGGGAAAACAAGTCACCATTGACAGTGAAGCATGTGCATGTGCGAGAGGTTACCCCTATGAACCATAGAGCTGTGGTTGCATCAAGTCTGTGTAACCTTGGACTCGTCTCTAGGGGAGAACATGTAATCCATATTAGGATTGTATCCCCTTGCCTATTGGTTGACTTTCATAACCCATGATCAGTGGGTCATTGTAACTGTTGGGTCAGTTTGAGAAAGCCAGTATAGATTATTGTCAACAGAAGAAGATAGAGTGCTTCAAGAAGATAGAGGAATTAATTATTTTATGTTAAATGATTTTAAGATTGATTATTTAAATTTTTATAAATCTCTAGATATTTTATTTTGTAAAATAGATTTATAAATTAAGAGATATTGAATTTTTAGTATTTGAATATTCAGAGAGAAATAATGTTTATTTCAATATTCTAATAATTATTTTATGAATTTTATAATTCCGTAAATATATGGAGGCCCCACCATGAGCTATCGGGCCCACTATAAATAAATCACATGAGAAACTTTTGTGGGGCCCACTATAAATAAATCACACGGGAAAATTTTGTGGGGCCCACATGAGGCCACCTATGGTGGCACACCCACTCAAATGAAATCTTACTTATTATTTTATGATGAAGCCACCAAGGCTATCAATCAAGTTGAAATAATATAGTACGTTTTGAAATTATGGATGATTGATTTCAATTATATATGATGTCATAAGTAGACATTGGAAAATTAAAGTAAGATTGATAATTTTGTCCATATTTCATTATTTGATGGGATTAAGTTTAGGTAGCTGAAGGATAGGGTTATAGCATCTTCCTTTGAATCATGATGGCTGATTTAAGGATTTGATGACTAAGATATGTCACTCCACAAGTCTCCTATAATTAATGGTCTAGGTCTAATCTCCATAAAGATGACTAACCCCTAAAGAAACCCTAAACCCCCTGAAAACTCTATAAATAACGGCCTCTCCCATTTCTAAATCTCTACACCTCTCTTCTCTGACTCTCTACTCTCTCAAACCTAGGGTGACATGCCATCCTTTAGGCTCTCTTTCTCATCTCTCTAAGACAGTTATCTCATCTATCGTCATTGGAATAGTAAAGTAAGGGGCAGCCCCAAGCTAGGTTCAAGAGGGGGACATGCCCCACTACTATTAGATAGTGAGGTCTAGGTTTTGTCTAAAAGTTGTTCAATTGCTCTTATATTTGTAAGGGTAGTAGCCAAGACTTTTTCATACTTTGTAGATCGGAGATAGACCATTGATCCCATGCGTCATTGGAGGACGAGATCCAGTATAGGGTGTACTAAGTCCGATTGAGGTAATCTTCCAGCATCTTGCTTTGTGCATTACAGTCTCTTTATTTCTTGTGCCTTGTTATTTCTATAAGTATTATATTTCTTTCGTTTATTAAATAAAAGATATTGTGATTAGTGGCAACAAGTGAGAACCTTTTTTTCTTATATATTTGTTTGTTTCGAGTAAATTTTATTGTACTTGGACTTTTTAAGTATTCTAGTCGATGATAAAAAAAAAATAATTAAAAATTATATACACAGTGCTTGATCTCCTTGTCCAACTTTCAGTTAGTAATAGTACTAATAATAATGATAATGATGATGATGATGATGATGATGATGATGATGATGATGATGATAATAATAGTAATAATAATAATAATAATATGTCGTGTGCCCAACTGATCACATGCACTTCTATTGCTAGTTTTTATGAATAATCCACAAAAATTAAGAAATTTAAGTGGATCAATTTTTATTTATTTGCTTCCAACTAAAATTCAAATTGTTTCAGCTTGGTCTCGTACTATTAGCGTGCCTTCACCCTAATCATTCCTTGGAGCAGTACTTTGTTTTGTTTCTTATTAATGAATTTTCATATAAGCAGTTACTCAGGCCACCCTTTTGATGGTTTTGTATAGAGCTCTCGACATGTGGGGAGCCTATTTTTTCTTTCATGGACATCTTCCATACTCAATACAAATGCTAACAACTTCAACAAAAAAAAAAAAATCTTTAAGTCTTTTATTTTAAAATTTTATTTCAAACCATATATTAAATCATAGATATTCTAATTTTTTATCTTTTAACCTTTAAACTAACTCTATTATTTTAAAATTTATTTATTTTTAAACAAATATAAAAAAGACATATATTTTCTTAACCCGTTATTTCTCTCTTTTCACATCATTTTCCCCTAAATCCTTCTCTGCCCAATTTTCGTCTCTCTTCCCCCGTCTCTCTTTCCCGTGTTTCCCCAAATCCCTCTCTATCTCCCGGCGTGTTCTCAGCCCCTCTCTCTCTCCGTGATTTCCAACCTCTCTCCCCATTATTCAATATTTTCAATATTTTGGTGATCGGATTAATCTTAGGAGAGACTTGTCAATTCCTCTCCCTTCTCTCTCTAAAATTCTGTACAGGGTTAAGAACTACTCTCCAAGTCCATGCTTTTAAGCCTAACACCCATAAACACGTCTCTCTAGAACCACATGTTTGACAGAATCTCTCTCCTGTTCTTATTTACTCTCTCTCTCTCTCTCTCCTGCAAGAGCAAATCCCGAATGGCTGGTGCTCATGTCCATGCTCAAATAATCAGGTATGGGTTCATCAAGAACACATTTTACCGAACAATTTGCTCTCAAGTATGGGTTCATCAAGAACACATTTGTGCTGAACAATTTGCTCGTAATGTATTCTAAGTGCCACTACTTGGGCGAAGCCCGCAAAGTTTTTGATCGAATTCCTGAGAGAAACCTTGTATCTTGGACTTCCATGATCACTGGAACTATTCAGAATGGAGAGCTGGTAGATGGGTTGTTTCTCTTTCTAGAGATGAAATGGGGAGGATTCATGGCCAATGAATTTGCTTTGGGTAGTGTTTTGATGGCCTGTTCAGGCTTAGAGGCTCTGAACTTTGGGTTCTCATTGCATGGTTATGCTCTAAAGATCGGAATTGAGTTTAACTTATTTGTTGGGTGTGCTCTATTGGATTTCTATGGAAAATTAAGGCTCATTTCCATGGCAGAGCATGTCTTTGAGAGCATTACAGATCCTGATGTAGCATGTTGAAATGCCTTGGTTACATGTTATGTGAATAATAGAGTTGCAGAGAAGGCATTCATGGCTGTTTCATTTATGCATAAGCAAAATTTACAGTTAGACCAATTCACCTTCCTAGTCATGCTCAAGGCCACACCATTTCGCCCAGTTTTGATATTGGGCGCCAAGTCCATGCCTTGATTATCCAATCTAAGGTGAGAAAGGGCCTCTCAGTTATCTCTCCATGAGAATAACCCCTGATTCCGAATAGAAAGGCAATGTAGCCAAATAAGCCAAAATCACGGGGGAGAGAGAGGGGTTGGAAAACACGGAGAGAGAGAGAGGTTGGTTGGGGAACAGAGAGAGAGAGAGGGGTACGGAAACACGGAGAGAGAGAGGTTGATTGGAACACACAGGGAGAGATAGAGAGGAGGGAGAGGTTGGGAAAACGAAAGGGAGAGAGGGTTAGAAAGTACGGAGAGAGAGAGAGAGAGAAGAGGGTGATTGGAAAACGCAGGGAGAGATAAAGAGGGGTTGGGGGTGAGAGAGACGGCTTTGGGGAAATACGGGTAGAGAGAGGGAGCAAGAGAGGTCCGGGAGAATCATAACGAAGAGAGAAAAATTTGAGAGAATATATCGTGTATAGAAAAGCAGGGTTCAGAATAAATGTTTTTTGTTATATTTGTTAGGGCTAAAACAATAGTAAGAAGTTGATAAAGTTAATGGATTAGAAGATATATTTTGAGGCTTTAGATCTATTGATATATAAAAACCTAAAATAGAGAATAAGAAAAAAATTTCTCAAATAAAAATCATGTAAGTAGTGTATGGGACTTGGCCGAGTCTACTAACTCCGCTTATGGGCTACGCCGAGTACCTCCAAGTTGTGTGACAACCATTGAAGGAAAAATCAAGCAGTCAAACTGGTATCCGTCCGGTTAGATTGGAACCAATTGGTCAGTTTTGGTTTCGACTAGTGACCATTTTTTAATTTTTTAAAAACATTTATATAAAACATCAAAAATAAAGGATTTTGTTTGTAATGCATTTTTTTTAATGTTTTTATCATTGTGACAAATATTAGAAATTGTTTTGGCCATTAATACTTATTTTTACATTTTTTCATCTTTTTGTGAAAAATTTCAAAAATACCCTAAG